TGATTAGGGACACATGGAGGACGGAGAAGGGGTAGAGGGGGGACCTTGAGAAAGCGCGTTGCCGAAAAATTGCTTTTCCGGCGGGTTGGACGCGACGACAGGGGCGGGTGGTCTTTAGAGTTAGGGTTTTTTGGAAAATATTTGGTTTATATATCAAGGTGTGAAAGACTAGGGGCCATTAGATTAAATTGAATAAAGGGCTAGGATTTGAAAATCAAAATAGGGCGAGTCAGGGTCTCAAATGGGTCTGGCAGGTTAAGGGATTGGGTAAGAGGTAAAAATTGCAGGGGGCGCCACATTTGGTCGCCCGCATTTAACCTATACCCATATTTTCAAAATTATTTAACCTATACCCTAATTTTTACAACTTTAGGCCCCTTCTTCTTCCTGCTACATGTGCGCTCCTTTCTTCCTCCTTTCTTTTCATTGGAAAACTGTAGCGTGGAATTATGTATAACGAACATATACATAAAAAGAAAAAAGGAAATCTTGCTTTCTTTCTGTACGATGAGGGCAAAACAGATATGTGAAGGAAGAGATCTTCATCGTCTACTGTATAAGAATGATATAGCATTGGACCTCCTGATTTTGATGTTGTGATTGCAATTTCAGCACAATGTGCCTAAAGCCAATGGATCCCATCCCATGACTCGAATATTGCTGGCCTGAGTTTACATAGTAATGTAAACTGCAGTGTTACTTGATGAACATAAATGGTGCAATTTATGAAATTTTTCAAGCTACTGCCACAAACTTAATAAGATCACATCAGGTTTAGGGAAAGCTTCTTTGAGGCAGTAGACCTATAACGAGTTTGTGACTTTAAATATAGTCCATAAATCAGCTGAAGTTCAGCAAATATAGAACAAAACTTCAGCTAAAACATGCTGAAGTTCAGCAAATAGAGAACAAAACTTCAGCTAGTAGAATGCTTAAGTTCAGCAATTACAAACAAAAACTTAAGCCAACACTAAGTTTACGCGAAAAACTTCAGCTAAAACATGCTGAAGTTCAGCAAATAGAGAACAAAACTTCAGCTAGTACGACTGTAGAACAAAAACTTCAGCTTATTTTAGTGCTGAAGTTTTTACAAATGAACTAAATAACTTCAGCATCTTCTGCTGAAGTTTTTGAAAAAGTTTCATAACAAAACTAATGAATCCAGGACAAAACTTCAGCTTATTTAATGCTGAAGTTTTTACAAATGAACTAAATAACTTCAGCATCTTCTGCTGAAGTTTTTGAAAAAGCTTTACGACAAAATTATTGAATCCAGGACAAAACTTCAGCTAAAACATGCTGAAGTTCAGCAAATAGAGAACACAATTTCAGCTAGTAGAATGCTTAAGTTCAGCAATTAGAAACAACTTCAGGCCCGTCTACTAGAATGCTGAAGTTTGCGTGATTGCCTTTGCTACTTCAGGCCCGTATGCCTGAAGTTTACGCGAAAAGTGGGTACACTTCCAATTTTTTTTGCATAGCGGGTATAAGTTAAAACGTGACCCAAAAAACGGGTATAGATGCAAATCCCCCGGGTAAGAGGGATTAATGGGTTGTCCGAAATTGGGCTCTTTTGGGGTAATTCAATGGGAATTTGGCACCGTATATCAACTCAGTCTGCTAATTGGCTAGAATTAACCCATTTTTTCATTTATTCGCATCAAGTAGCCAATAAATGTATATCACAACAATAATATGCATATCACAATCTTAATTTTTTTTATGCATATCAAAATCTTATTTTCCTTCTTTGTTATATTTAAAATATGAATTGTAAATATATTGTTTATCATTTATTGTTGTGTTTATATCTAAGTGTATAACACAAAAATAATTGTGTTGTTTGTATATCACTATGTATAACACATCAAATAATGTGTATATCAAAATGTATATCTCACCTTTATTTTCCGTCTTTGTATATATTAAGATGTATATCAAAATTTTCTTTTTCTTTTTCTTATATCTCAGCGTACAATATATCTTATGTATATTAGTGATATCTCATGTATATCGTGTTTATTGTGTATAGCCATGAAAATTTGTGTTATATATACGATATACAATAATATACACGGGCTTCCATAAAAAAAGTTGTGTTGTATACACGATATACAAAGTGATATACACATACGTCCTTAAAAACTTGTGTGTGATATACACTGATGTACACGATATACAACGTGATATACACATATCGCAGTTGAATTTTTAGGTCTGTTTTTTTTACCTGAAACCAGTCTAAATCACTTCTAATCTCGCTCAAATTTTGTATATAGCCTCGCTTAGGTACTTTCAACCAATTTCAATCATACCCACTCGTTCAATCCAACCAAAAAAGAGAAGAGAGAAGAAAAATAAAGTTGAAATGTATTTTTTTCTCTCTTAGTTTTTGCTTCTGATTTTCTCTGATGTGAGATCAAACTTACCTTTTCATCCCACTATTCTTTTTTGCATAATTTGCAAGAATGAGGATGAATTCACCCATCAACACCAAAAATTGGCCATGTGACAAATAACACAAGAAAAATTACAAGAAAACATCTATTTTCAAATTAGTTGGAGGAACTTTCTATTCGTTCAATTTGGATTGTACTGGAGACATGAGAAATCAAATAGGATTTACATTAGGATTGTGTCTATTATGGCAGTGTCAATCGATCCCTTTACTATCCGCAAAAGCGTTCTCTCTTCGCTTCTCCTCATCCCTATGAAACCATAATATTTCTGAAAAATGTATCAACCATTACAACTTTCTAAAGATTATCAAAGAACACATGCCTTTCCAAATACAGATTGAAGAACAAATTTGCTAGATTGAAGAAGAAGAAAAAAAGAAAAGATTGGAGAAGAAATACGGGGAGAGAGAAGAAAAAATACGGGAAAAGAGAATAAATAAGAAACTAGAGTTATTTAGAATTTGCTATATAATGCTAAATTTTTTGGGGTTACTTTTGCCAAACCTAATATAGGGCTAAAATATTGCCAATTCTCTTTACGTGTTGTCGTACCATGCCAATTTTTCTAATTCAATGTAGAAAAAAACCTGAAAATTAACTAGCCCAAAACATTAGTTTTTCCTTCTAAAATAACATAAAGTACACTCATAAAGATGCAAAATCACTCTTGATTAATTAGAATAAACTATATTATAGTATGAAACTTTTTTTGTTGATATTTTTCAAAAATTGTATTAAAATAAGAAGTAGAAAAAAAGAAAATAGGTTAAACTCATAGCAAAATTAGAATAATATCCCTACAAAATAGAAATATTTGATAACATAAAAATAAAACTATTTTTGTGTTTTTCAAATTTATGTTTCAAAAAAAAAGTAAACTAGAATCCTATTAAAATAACTTAAGTAAATATTAAAAATACTAAGAATATTAAAACTAACTTAAAAAAAATTGTGTGGGTCAAATTACGCATTTACATATTCGACTTGGCACGCCATATCATTTGGCATATGACATGGATCTTGGGCTAATATTGTGGGCTCACCATTTGAAGACTAACTCGGTGGACTAGTCCAAATGATGTTGAACTTTTATTTAAATGTGTATCTTAGACTTAAAACAACATGGGGTGGTGGTGCAGTTGGCTAGCGCGTAGGTCTCATAGCTACTGAGTACTGAGTTATCATGAGGTCGAGAGTTCGAGCCTCTCTCACCAATATCCATAATTCTTAATGTATTTAATGATTAGCAAATTCGAAAATTGTATCAAGGATACTTAATCCTGATTTTAAGATTAGTATTTAGGTTACTTAGTAGTTAGTCCTGAAGTTTGTATAAATTGACTAATCGTTAAATACATTATAAATTATGAATATATTTTAAATAACATACTTAGTAACAACGGGTGCACCTCGAGAATCAAGTCTTAATTTAGTATGGACCAAATTTAATAAAGTCACGCGTCTACAAATCAGATTATAAATTTTAAAATTACTCGTCAAACAAAAAAAATAAATTAAAAGCTCTCCAAAGACTGTGAGGTTAGCTGGAGGCAGCTGTGAACAAGTTTTAGAATTTTATGTTGAGAAAGATCTCTGAGGTGTTTGCCTATAAGTCTGCTTTTTTATACTTTTCTTTTCCTACTTTTTCTTTTTTCTTCTTTATTGGGTGGGGATCCAATGCATTGTCTTTCATCATGTATTCTATTTATCCAAAATGTCGAATAATTATAAATGATAAACGTTTTTTCTAACAGCTTGTTTGGATGGTTGTTACCTATCATATCGTTTCGTATTGTTACTTTAAATACAATGTTTGTTTTGATTGTTACTTAAATTTTATTGTATCGTATCGTTAAATCCATCGTTACGTAACGATGAAATGTGCCACTTTATGTAACGACCGATTTGGTGTGGTCGCGTCGTTTCCTTGTGTTTTTCTCTCAATCTCACCCTTCATTATTATTAAATAATTTTATTTTATCATTTACCCTACCTTTTTATATACCGTATCATAACTTTTCTTTATAAATCACAGGTGCGTGATACCATAAAACAACGCCAAAACGACACAATCCATTCAACATTGTATTCATCAAACGATACAGTACAATACAATACAATACGATACGATACATTATGAAACGATACGTAACAACCATCCAAACAAGCCGTAAGGTAAAAATATTTTATGAATAATTTAGAGTCTTTATATTGTTTTTTATTTTATTTTATTGAAACACAGTAGTGCTACTAATTAGAATTTAGGCAATAGATAAACTTTAGAAAGTGGTTTTTGGTTGGACGGCCTAGATTATTATTTATTACCCACTCTACACTCACTTTGATTCTATATATTTAACTCAAATGTTTCTTTAAAATATTTTAACTCAAAACTTTTGAGTCGCTCAAATTGACTTAAACCAAATTAATTATTTTCCGAACTTTTTCTTTTCACCAATTATTTTCCGAAATTAGCAAAGCAAATATTCCGCCAACTTAACAGAACGATTCTTTATTTCCCGCTAACCCTCATTGGTCCCAAATGGCCAAATTCATTGACCCAATGTTGCGCTATATCATGACCCATCCATAGACCTATGGCGGTCCCCTAGAACCCCCCCCCCCACCCCAACCCCAACCCCAACCCCACTTCCTTCTTCCGTGTGTACAAGCACAAGAAGTGCTGGATGGCGGCCATTTCAAGGAATTTTCTTCCTTCAGGTTGCTGAATTTTATCTGTCCTGCAGTTTTTTAATCAATCGTTGATTTGGGTTTTTCATTCCATCATTTGATGTTTCAGATTTAGGATAAAGTTTACTTTTCCCTCCCCTTGTTTGTTGGCCGTATAAACCCTATCTTGTGATTTAATACTTGATTTTTTCTTTGGGCAAAATCTAGACTTGACTGCTTTGTCCTTCTGAAAAAGGGTATCTTGGAAATTAAGTGGTAACTAACAGTAGGGGACTAAACTGGAATTTCTGTTAATCTGATGATGGATGATGATATGGTGATGGATCTGGATTTGAATCAACAACCTTCGGACCCACCTTCGGGTTCACCTTTAGGATTAGGGTCTTTGTTGAATGATTTAGAAACTGCTCACACTAGGATTGAGGAGAGAATTAGGCATCTTGAAGCTGTCACTGCTAGAGCTTTGCAGCGCCATAGGTGGCGTCAGGCTCGCACTACCATTGGTAATGTGGATAGTGAGATGCAAGTTCAGAATAGCGAGAGTGTTTTGGATGTGGCAGAAAGGACTGTGGAGAGGGGATGCAAAAGGGATAGTTCCCATTTGGTAGCAAAGGCATTAGAAATGGATTTAGTGGTTAATAAGGTAGATGATGATGGTGGAAGTTTTTTTGACTGTAATATATGCTTGGATATGGCGAAAGAACCTATCTTGACTTGTTGCGGCCACCTATATTGCTGGCCATGCTTTTATCAGTTACCTTATGTTGATTCAACTACAAAGGAATGTCCTGTCTGCAAAGGAGAGGTTGCAGATGGAAATGTTACTCCAGTTTATGGTAATGGAGATGGGGAAAGCATCACGGAACTGGAGTCTGGTTTGAAAATACCGCCAAGGCCAAAGGCACGTCGAGTAGAGAGTGTTAGACAGCAGCGTGTGACTCGAGGTTTGTCTCACATCCCGGTTGCAGAAGCACTAAGAAGAATTAGGACTAGTATTGGATTGGGGCATCACGCGCAGCGACAGGATGCTGGTGGAGTTAATTTGAATTTTGTGAGAAGCTCTCATGTGTTGCAAACTGCTGATACCTTAAGCAGCCGGAGACTACGTTCCCGTCTTATCTCGAGGGTGTTGTCAGAAGGCGCTGCTTCTCTTTCATCAGAGTTAGATAATGCACAACGGATGTTTGAAGACCTTGCAGCATCACTCACTGATCGGCTTCTCCAAAGAAGTAATGGAGATGCTGTTCATGGAGCGACAGATGAGGGTGATTCTTTCAGAAGAGATGCTGCTTTCATACAGTCAGATATTTGGACTCTGGATGCAGTAGCAGGCACAAGTTCCACTACATCCACTCCCTCCTCTTCTCAAGCAAATGAAGTCTCTGACACTGTTGTTCAGCTGGAAAACCTTACAACTGATACTCGCAATCTGCCTGTGGGTCGATCTTCCTTGGCTTCCAGGAGAAGAAGCATTTTGTCGAGGCTTTCTGATGTAGATAGCGCACTTTTCCGCGAACCTAGAAGGAGAAGATTGAATTGATGGCCTTTGAATGAATAAGGTATAGTTTCCCAGTTCTTATCTCAGCTCAATTAAGTCTCCTTGCCAATGCTTATCTCTTTCACGCCATGGTGTTTCTTTGCCAACTCTAACGCAACTCGGATAGAAACAGTTCCCAAATATATTGCCCCCGACTTCAGCTGGAAGATTATATGCACAATATCTTTAGCTGCTTCTAGTTTTGGAATTCACTATAATGGTGGAATTTCTTGATATGAGGCTTTCTCAACAATAAGCTACTGCTGCTGCTTGTATTAGGCCTTTGGTTCAGAACCAGTATAAATTCTATATGCTTGTTCTCTATGTTTGATCATAGTTCATAATGTACAATGAAAATTCGCATTTCATAAATGTATTCTGGTGTTTTATTTCGATTTCCTTAACTTGAGTCTTGATTATTCCCTCAAGCTTTGGAGGTGTAAATAGTGTTTTGCATTGTGTCTTAATGAGGAAAATATATTTATAATAAAAATTTTCTTATTCATTCATAAATGTATCTATTAAACTAAGGCATAATTTCATAAAACTGATATAATATTTGCAAAACCTCACATACTAACATGTTTCTTACAAATCCTCATAACTAAACTCAAGTTAAAGTGCACATATCATTTGGTTCTAGCTTATCACAATACTCCCTCCGGTTCAAAATAAGTGATTTTTTGGCCTTTTTCTTGTGGTCCAAAATAAGTGATTTTTCCAGATTTCAAGACTGAATTAATTAATTTTTTTTCCTACATTGTCCTTGGAGTAAATAGTGTTGGAATATGTATTAGGAGTGTTTATGTGAGATAGTAAAGGTTAATATGGTCAATTCTATTGCTAATTAATGCTAAAAGGTGAATTTCTTAATCTGTGTGAAAACATCCAAAAAATCACTTATTTTGGACCGGAGGGAGTATTAATCAATTTTGGGACGTCGAATAGATTATTTAAGGATATATAATAGTTACTAGTTATTTGAGTTAGTGAAATTGCTAGCAACACATTCCGCCCAACTGTTTTACTAATAAAGTGGTTATATTTGTTTGACTGTTTTGATCTTTGATGAAATATAGAATTTGAAGCAACATGTAGACCAAAGTGACTTTCAAAAATCGGTTTTATGTATTCATCTCTATGACATTTCATTCTCATGCAGAAGCTCTTTTAACTTTCTAATCTGCTTGTAACAAAAGTGTGTTGTAGGTGATAAACGATGATAAGTAAATAAATTATAAATAAGATCAGGATTGCTAGTGGATTGAGTACATTATCGAAGGGCAATGGGAAGATTAGCCTCATCTGTTAAGGGCTCAACTGGGGCAGGTGATGATCTTGAAGCTAGCATTAAGTCACCAGAAGCAGCCTATAGACCTTTATCATGAGAGGAAAATCAATTGGGTTAGCTAGGGATTAAACCCGTAAAGCATAAATCAGTTGGGCTAGCAAGTGGACTAAACTCAAAGAGGAGTTTTTGGAGTAAGAAGATAAGACAATTAGTTGTCTGCGGAGTTGGAAATAAGACGATCAGTTTGCTTGTATAGAAAAATACGTAAGGGTTCTCTTGAAGTTGGCTTCACCACTGGTAGCAATACAAATTATTACAAAGCAATCAAAGGTTTTATGAATCACCAATATTAAATTGGCATCATTATCTAGAGTAGGGGTGGCAAACAGGCGGGTCGGGTCGGATATGAGCGGGTCGAAAACAGGTAATTCAAAAAACGGATAAATTATCCGTTCCGACCCATATTTGAGACGGATAAAAAATAGGTTATCCGTGGCTTCTTCAATATGATCACTAATGGGAGAATTCCTCCTCTCCCAAACTTGAGGAACTCCCAATTTGAAGGCTTTACAAATGTTATCCATTTGGTTAACCATTTTCTAAGTGGATAATATGGTTCTTATCCATATTCGACCCGTTTTTAAAAAGTTCATTATCCAACGCATTTTTTAATGGGTAATATGAGTAGATAACTGTTTTCTTTTAACCATTTTGCCACCTCTAATCTAGAGGTTGAGTTTTGTTGTACTGCTGGAGGTCACTTGGGAAGGATCGTGGGAGAGATAGTTGATGAAGGTTATCATATTTGTCTGTTTCCGGCACAAGAAGTAGAGTTGTCAAGTTGTGTCCTGTATTTCTTCTTTCACATATTATTTTTTGTGGATAATGGTGGTGTACTATGGGCTAGCTTGGGATACTTTCTTTAGTTTCTAAAGGCACAGCTGTGTATAACAACAAAAGTTAAAAGGTAGGAGTCTATTAATTGGCACATATTCAGATAAGGACTTTCAGAGATTCTCTAGCTAGACAAGCTGCAACTGTTGTGAGATGTTTAAAGATGGCAAGTCCAAATAGATCTCAGCTTTCAAAAGTAGAAGCTAGAATTAACTGCTTGTTTTCATGCAATGATCCCCTCTAACCAGCTGCTCCAGTACAATGTTTATTTCCTTTCTGAATTAGGAGGCACAATTCAAATGTCAATACTGCAATCCTATCGTCATCAATTGAGAGAGATAGGAGCCATTTGGACAACTTTTGAAGAAAAAAAAAGAGGTTTTTGAAAAGATCTCTGGAAAAAAAAATGCAAAAAAGAAAATATGTCTTGATAGTTGTAGTTTTTTTGGAAGATTTGTTAGTCTTTTGTGAGTGGTAGAAAAACTTTTCTTTGAGAATTTTTTTTGCAGAAGTAAATGACACCAAGAAAATTCTGGCAAACATAATCTAGTTACTATTTTATATAGCAAACTCCGAATTGGTTTTTGCTATTAACCTTTTCCACTTGCTAAGGTACAGGAACTAGGGCTGACTGCAACTATGCTCTATAGGTTTATGCAGGTTAATGACTAGAATGAATACTTACTGAAAGTGCCGGGAATAAAACCTACTCTTACAGGAATTGAATCAGTTTCTTTGACACGAAAAGACTATGGTGTGCTTCTCTATGATTAAACATTTTTGTCCATGACTTCTAGTATGAGAGACACTACTATACATGAACTATTCTGCTTTCCAACATATACTCCCAGGTTCCTAAAAACAATGTTTGATCTGTATCATCACAAGGTGAAGGATAATTGACTAAGTACATACTTCATCCTCTTGTCTCTGATTAAATATTCCTTTTGTTCTTCATACCTTAATTACCATTGATGCTTGTTAACTGATGCACTGATTGCGTCAATGAAGGTACTCATGCCCTGCTATATCAGAGATATACTTCAATTTCAATGGCTTAAGAATGTCAATTTAGTTCTTCGGAATGAGCGAGCCATGCCAAAAACATTGACTTCCTACTTTATGATGCCATTTAAGTCCATTTTTTGTAGTAGTCAATTGAGCTGCAGTGACAACAGGTGATAAAATTCCATTCCTTGTGCCTGCCTCTTTTTAGTTTTTACCAACTAATGTCTGGTCTCATACAGTTATTTCTTTTAAGTTTCTTATATCTTGGTTCGTCTCAATTTATGAACTTATCCCTTTGTTGGAGAAGAGTGAGTGGGGAAACAAGTTGATAGATGCGCTTAATATTTGGCAAATGCAGTTTGTATCTTGGCTAGATGGGAAGGACTAGTGGACTTTTTTGCTTGAAAATTTCTTTCTGGTCTTGTTGGTGACAATTTGAGAGATACTAGTCCAAAGACGAATCTATGATCTTAAGGTTCAAACTAAGCTTGATAAACTCGTATCTATATTTTTGTTTTAGTTTGTATATGTATGCAAAGTTCGAGCCAAAACAATTGAACTCGCAGAACATATCCCAAATCTGCGTCCACATACTAGTCCTTGCATTAAAACGTTTCTGTAATCATGTTGTACTGTTAGGTTGTCCATGACTCATAACATTTAGATAACTAGTCAAAGCGCGTACCCTGTCTCAAAAATTTTTAAAAAAATACATTATTATTTTATTTAAAACTTGTGTTTGAGGTATATGATTGAAGCTAAATAAAAAGTGTAAACTCCTAAAAATAATACTTGTTAAACATATTTTGGATAATTGTAAGAAACTCAACTTCATAGAAGTCCTTAATCATCTCAGCCACTCAACTTCATAGAAGTCCTTAAATATACCTATTTTTATAATTACATTACTTTAATTTTTGAATACATGAACTTTGCTGATTTAAGAGTTTTTCTGAATTTTTGTTCGAAAGATATATATTCTTAAGTTTATTCTAGAAGATATAAACCAAGTTATTAGCTACTAACAAAAGTCAATCTTTTTATTTTATTTTATGTCGTGATAAAAATAAAAATTATTCTATTTTTCATCATACTATAGGAATTATTTTCAAAGGATTATAAAAGAAGAAATCACTACCGCAGAAGTAAAATATATTAACTGTGTTTCGATTAATCTACTCTTACTTGTTTTGGAGATTGTAATGGAATGTTTTTGTAGTTGATTCTAAAAGGACTACATTAATACTATCCTAAAAATAGTGAAGATACGAAATTCAGTCAAAATTAGAAGAAAAAAGGTTTCTACAAGCTGAAATAAAATATCTAATGAATATTGTGAAAAAATAGAAATAGATAAATAATCTCAAGCCTAATATTCTCAAAAATAGATGACGTTCCTTATAGCTTGCAGTACTGGAAATCACTCTCATAAGTTCTTACCTCTTGGCCCCTAGATTTTTTATTTTTATTTTCTGAATCTTCAAAACCTTTTTGACAATCTCTTATTCATCCACAAAAAATTATAATAATCCCGTAGAAGATAAATATATGGTGAATATGAAGCAGACTAAGGTTGTTTGTATATGCAAGTTTTAATGATGTTAAATATTAATGAATAGCTTTAACATATTATGTTCAAAACCTTGTATTAATGTAAGAAGTAAAAAAGGACATTTATATTTGTTGGATCTTTATTGTAAACTTGTTAGAATACCACCCTCCTCTCTTGTAAGCTCTAGTTGCTCTCCAATAAGAACAAATTGAAAATATTTATCTTGTGACAATGCCTAAAATCGATTTGAATTCATTAATAAATATAGAGAACAAAATAAACTTAAATTTATAAGATATTTAATTGAAATGAGTTATAATGCCTGACTAATTTTTTGTTACGGACTGCATTAATGACCCAAACAAATAGCCGTCCACCTAATCTTTTACACTAAAAATAGCCGATGAATGTATGATATATATACAAATTCATATATAATATATGTATAACTGTGTATAATTAATGTATAAATTATATATACCAGATAGAAAAATTAAATATTGAATCTGGCCGGCTATTTGTATATAAATAAGTCAATTTAAACCGATAATCGTATATGAGATATTGTAAATAATAATCACGTCATGACAATATTTATTTTTGCAATTATCTATCAAGAATACACGAACATCTATTATTACATAACTTCAAGAACAAACTAAAGGTTATAAAATTTACCTCAAAGTACAAGCAAGTTTACCTCCGCATACATCAACATCATCCAGAATTTATGAGAAAGAATGTGGCATACTTACTTCTTTTGTAGAAGTATTGAGCTCCTCTTTATACTAAATAGCTTTGGTTTAGATATTAATGGTTGAATCTGGCCATTTTGGTAAAAAGAATCTAACCATAAGGAATCGTAAACCTAAAGAAAGAAAAAACACGTCAAAAAATATTAAAACACCACGTCAATACAACAATAATCATAGTAATACTTATTCCTCAGTCCCGGGTATTTTCGTGTTTCCACCAAAAAGAATTAGTAAATGCTAAACCTAAACAAAGAAAAGGACTTAAGCATAAATAAAGAAAATCTGTATTCAACAATAAAAGGGAAATTTATTGGATTTCCTCCAGAAACAGAAAATAATAGTGAATCCAAAACATAAACAAAGAAAAGACATGGCAATTTTTTCGGTTTTTCCAACAAAGAAAAATTAGTGAATAGTATAACCTAAACAAAAGAAAAGAATACCTAAACAAAGAAAGGCATAACGTTAATTGACAGCAAAATCCTAAATTTGTAATGAATCCTACCTAAATAAGGATAAGACGTACTCAACAGAAAAAGGCAAGAAACGGTAGTTTTTGGTTTTCTTTTCGAAGAAAATAATTAGTATTTACAATTACAATTTTATCCACCATAGAATACACTTACGAAGGGTAAAAAGGTCGGTTAACATTTCGATAGGGGCTTCGTACTTTTATATATATATATATATATATATATATTTGACTAACATAGTAAAATATAGAATAAAGTTACCATATAATTGATATTTATTAACTTGCCACTTGGCTTAACCACAATATCAATTATATATGGTAACTTCATTCCTTTAATATATATATAGATATAGAATAAAGTTACCATACATTATTGTCACGACCCGGATAAATTCTCACCATCGAAAGTCGTGATGACGCCTACTATCGGAGCTAGGCAAGCCAAGCATTCAAAACATTCTCTGGTAACACCTCAACAATATAAATAAAACGAGTCATTTAAATAAAAGCGGAAGTCTTAAAAGCATAGATAACTGAAAACCAAAAATGCAGAAGTTTAACATTTCTCTACCCAAGACTGGTGTCGCTAACTCACGAACTACTAGAGAGTGCTAAAAACAAGTCTGAATAGAAGTACATCACTGTTTGTCTCGGTACAAGGAAAACAAACTAATAACATAGAAGGGACTCCGGCCTGCGAACGTCAGTTAGGATACCTCGAAAGTCCCTGGACTGAAGTCAGCTCCCGATCAAATCCTACTGCTGAGGTCCAAAAGCTGCTCCTGGATCTGTGCAAAAAGATGCACAGAGTGTAGCATCAACACAACCAACCCCATGTGCTGGTAAGTGCCTAGCCTAACCCCGGCGAAGTAGTGACGAGGCTAGACCACACTACCAGATAAACCTGTGCAGTTATGAAATATATTGCGGAAAATAACAGGAAATAAACAGTTATAAAAGGAGGGGGAAACATGCTATAGGGAGGCAACAGTTAAAAACAGGAAGTCTAAACTTAAAGGATAGAACAACCAACAGAAACTTAAATCCGGAATAAACACAATTAAGCTATAGTTTTGTTGCCGCGCGCAACCCGATCCGATCACATACAATACTGTTGCGGCGTGAAACCCGACCCTCAATCATCACTGTTGCGGCGTGCAACCCGAACCACAAATATATATTATTGTTGCGGCGTGCAATCCGATCCTCAATTATATAGTGTTGTTGCGCCGTGCAATCCGATCCACAATTACATAGTGTTGTTGCGGCGTGCAACCCGATCCACAATTACATAGTGTTGTTGCGGCGTGCAACCCGATCCACAATTACATAGATAACCAAACCTCACCCAATCAACAATTACAAGTAAGAGGTAGGGGGGGGGGAAGTAACAACTGGTGACAGCAACCCCGGCAAGGGGAATATAACAACGCAACTAAATCCCGGCAAGGGAGAAAATCAACAAAACCAATAACACATCCCGGCAAGGGAGTAATCACCAACTCTTTCACTTTCTTACACTTTCCACTGAAATTCACTTTAACATTCGAGCCATCACTCCAAGAGTCATTTCAAAATCTGTGTCTCATGCTCTTTACAGTATACAGGAATCATCGAACAAGTATGGAAGAAATCACTACGATTCAGGATAATCTCAATATAAGGACACACGGTCATGCTAGACACCAGCGTATAGATACTCGTCACCATGCCTATACACCATACTCGACACATAGCAAATAGCAAATAGGACCCTTCTCCTATTCCCTCAAGCGAAAGTTAGACCAAACACTTACCTCGAATGCTCCAAAAATCGACTCAAGCCTCTAGTGTAGCTTTACCCCTCGAATTCGGCTCCAACTCAGTCAAATCTATGAAATAATGACTTTACAATATTAATAATAGCTAAAAAACTAAACCTAATGCCTAAATATGAATTCCCAACCTTTCTTCCAAAAATTCCAAAATCGACCCCGGGCCCGCTTGGTCAAAACACGAGGTTCGAACCAATTCCATGTCACCCATTCCCCGACGAGCCCGGATATACAATTTGTTTTTCAAATTCACCCAAAACGAGGTCTAAATCAAAGAAAATTGAAAAGCCCTAATTCTACCCTTTTTCCCCAATTTACACCCTAAATTACATGTTTTAGGTCTAGGAATTTGATAAATGATGATAGAAAATGAAGAAAACGAGTTAGATAATACTTACCCAAGAAGCTTTAGTGAAGAAGAGCTCTAAAGATCGCCTATGGGCTGTGGAGAAGATGAGTTCGTGTGTTTTGGGTGAAAAATCCCGACAATGTTCTGTTTTGGGGTATTAAAAATCACTGGGCAAAATTCCCCTTCGCGTTCGCGGGAAGGGGGCCGCGTTCGCGAAGGGTAAACCGGGTAAGCGTCGCGAACGCGTGGAGTCAAGCGCGAACGCGTAGAAAGAATGTACTGGGGGTCCGAGGTTTGTTCTATGCGAACGCGTTGAGGGGCACGCGAACGCGATGAAGGGATCAGTAAAGCTATGCGTTCGCGGACGGTGGAGCGCGAACGCGAAGAGGAAATTACTGGGCTCCTATTTTTGGCTTACGCGATCGCGAGGTCCAAGACGCGAACGCAAAGAAGGAAGACTCAGTACTACGCGAACGCGAGAGGAAGGGCGTGATCGTGAAGAAGGAAATCCCTGTGCACAAATACCAGATTTTTCTGCAACTTTCTAAGTTCAAAAACCACTCCGACACACCTC